AAAGATAATCAGTTTTAGTTTTAATTTTCTGGAACCTTTGAAGGTTTGTAATTTGTAATCGATTATGTGTATTGAATCATACAATTGGGTTGCAGCGTGTGGCCCAGTTGCTTCAAAGATGCAGTTCTGCTAGTTGCATTTACTCTTTTGGGCTTCAAGTGAGCCCAATTTTCCTCTTTTGTGTGCGTATGGATGCCTGAACACTTAAAGGATCGGGCCTGACATTGGTTTGGTCTCCTAGCCCATCGAGTGCTGAATTTCAACGTAACACCATGTCTTTGATTAACGAATTTTAGTTTGGAAATTGGCCTTTAAAATAATATTGCCAAGTTCCCTCGGCCTTTTAATTAAGTTCTTCTTAATAAATTGAGGCGAGCCATATTAAGAAAGATATAGTTATGGCCCTCAAAAGCTTAGTTTGAATTCCCTTTAAAATTGGAATCGAGGTGTGCCCTGCCAAATAATATCTCAAAATGCGTGGCCCTCACTTAATTAATATTTCAATCCCTAGAAATCGAGGTGTGTCATTTAGTTGAATTTTCCATGACCCTCGCAAACTTGAAAGTGCATAGTTGCTTTAGGCGCGTAATTTAATTTAACTTCCTTAAACTCGGATGTGCTTTTCATGTGACCCAACTCCAATTCTCAATAGCGTTAAATAAAATATGTCGTGGATCGAGGGTGCATTTCATGTGAAGTGGTTCAAGGCGTGTTTTTAAAATAACGTTGAATCTTCCTAAAATAATTAAAAGCGGTTATAAAGCTAAAAATGCACAACAGGTTTAAAACATGTAGTAAATCAGATAATTAGGCCAATTTTAATAGTTTAAGTGACCGTACTGGAACCACGAAACTCGAGAATGCCTAACACTTTCTCCCGAGTTAACAGAATTCCTTACTTAGAATTTCTGGTTTGCAGACTTCAAAAGGAAAGTCGAATTTCCTTGATTTGGGATTTTATAATAAACTGGTGACTTGGGACACCAAATAAATTATCCCAAGTGGCGACTCTAAGATTAAATAAATAATCTCATTTCGAATGATGTCACTTTGATTGGAAAAACTTCCTTATATACCGCCCGCGGGTGTGTAAAAAGGAGGTGTGACAGCTCTAGTAACTCCGTTGGGGATCGAACCCAGAATCTCTGGTTCAGGGTTCAAGAATTCAAGCTTAGAATAACTGTTATAGTTGGCTTGTTTTATCTGATTTTTACATGTTTGAGCCTAATGTGCTAAATGCCGCTTTTACCGCTTTGATATTGTATGAACTGTATATAAACTGCTATGAAACCTTTCTTCTCTCCGAGTCTTCTAAATCATTTGGGGAGTGTGCACTTCGTGTGACTTCTCTTCTGTTTAGAGTCTTATCCAATTTTAGAACGAGGTTCGGACAAGTTGCAAAGCCGATGAAGTTTTTGTATTCCCGGTACGCTGCCCCCTCCCCCCGGCTCGAGCTGTCCGCTCGGGTAAGCCAGGTCTAGAACAATACACTCAGGTTTCAAACCTAGTATAACAAGACCTCATGCCGGATCCCTAGTAGGAACGTTTGTTTGTATCACGTGCATTTGACTTTGGAGACTCAATACAGGGGTTGGGTCTGTCTAGGACAAGTGTACCCGAAATAAAAAGACCATCCTGATGCATCCTACTTGCTACTTGTGCATTTATTTGCTTCGGATTTGCATGTTGACTGGCTTATGAATAATAGGAGAAAAGTTGGAAAAAACAGAAAAGTCTATATGAGGACTAAGAGAGATAATTGCTTGTTTTTGAAAAAATCAATGTCCAAAAAATATACTGAAAAAAAAATCGAAATTATGAAAGAAAGAAAAGAGAAAATTTTGTTTTTTTTAAATAGTTGGCTTTGTTTTTGTTTTGTCAAATCTGCTCGAACTACGCCAGTTTGATTCTCACCGGATGTGGGATACGTAGGCAACCCCCATCGGGTCCAACTTCCCTTTTTGCAAAAATAGCCCAAAAAGAACAAAATTTTATTTTTATTATAAATAAGTAAGGTGATGTCATTCTTGTCTAAAATAGCCTAATGTCCTCAAAAGGGCGCCGGAAGGCCTTTTTTGCAAGAATAGCCACCTTTGGTAGCTTTTTCAAAGCTTTGGCCGGTTAGCAAACACAACCTTAAAATCTTCTTCCCCGAAGTGCTGAAAGGTCGTATTCGCAAAGTCGGATTTTTATGAAAATTTTGAAAAAATAGTGATAACTTTTTCTCGAGTCAAAATGAATCATGATCTTTTAATTAAATCACCCTAATAAATGTGCAAGATGAGCACAAATGAAAATGAACCTTTTGCAGCTCTTGAAGAAATTCCCTTACAGCTTCATATGTAGTGGAACGACTTAGGGAAAGGCAATCAAGGGACTGTGGTTAATGTTTTGGGTGGCCTTGTTGGACTTTTGCAAATCAAGCCAAGATTGGACGTGATTGAAGCCTTGATACCTTTTTGGGATCCAACTTGCAATGTGTTCCATTTTTCTAATTTTGAGCTCACACCCACGCTAGAGGAAATTGCGGGTTACACCGGCCTTAACGGAAACCTTAGAAGTCGGTACCCGGTGTCACCAAGACCAGTATCTCCTCACAAGTTTCTGGATATGTTGAGTATTAGCTGGGATATTCAGGATGAGAATTTATCTGAAGGGTTTTGCACTTTCCAGTTCTTATACCAATTCTATGGCAACCCCCAAGGTTTTGAAGCACCGAATACTGGTAATACTGGTCTGACCCATGCCAGAAATAAAGATAAATAGGAGGCACGTCGGGGTTTGGTTTTTATAGTAGCATTCCTGGGTGTTATAATCTGTCCACGAAAAGACAGCAACATAGAATTGGGCCTAGTGAGAATGGTTGATGTCGCAATCAAAAAAGCTAATGGCACCCTGGTTCCCCTGATCTTGTCTGAGATTTACTGAGCTTTGACCATTTGTCGAGAAGGGGAAAAATTCTTCCAAGGCTGCAACTTATTACTACAATTATGGATACAGGAACATCTCTGCCACCGTGTCAGGTATATCAACTATGGTATGACCGGTTTGAATTGCATCGAAGAATTTGAAAGCTGAGTGGTGGGTGTTAGATTTCCCGAGGGTACCGAGGATTGGTTTGCACACTTGAGTTCTTTAACTTCTGATAAAATTGAGTGGACGTTCGGATGGCTCCCTGTCACCGAAGTCGTATACATGTTAGCCGAAGTGTGCTATCTCCTCCTAATGGGCATCCGGAGCAACTAACCATATGCTCCTCATAGGGTTTTGCGCCAACTGGGCAGGTTTCAAACCATCCCTCTTGATGAATATTTGAGTGGACATGTCGTCGAATTGGGCCCAAAGGCTGTATTTCCAGAAGGAAGAGTTCGCCAAGTTGGGAATGAGTGCAGATTTCTCGAACCTAAAACCATGGTGCAGGATCTAGCTAGAGGTGAGGTAGACCCCAAGTACATGATTTGGTTCGGTAAACGGTTTCAGATTCCTGAGAGACCAGCTAAGAGACCACATGTCCAACAATTCACTAACGACTCGCAGGAGCAGTGGGGCTGGTTGGCAAAAGAAGAAAGCTATAGGGCCAAAATAAGTAAATTAGAGGGACAAATCAGGGACCTCAAATTTGGTAATAGTATCCAAGATGCTGCAGATGAAGGGGAAAAGAAGACGCTAACTCAGGAAAACGAAGTCCTTAAAGCTCAAATCCAGGAAATGAGAATAGCCGCTAGAAACTTGGAAAGAAGCCGAGCAGATGAAAGGCTTATAAGCAGTTTGAGAAAGAAAGTACTTGAATGTCAAGATGACCTAGAAAAATTTGAGGTCAGTCTAGCAAAAGTCCGGGCACAATTGGCAAAGAATGCAGAAGGGCGGGCACAATTTGTGCAACAAATGAAAAGAAAATATGAAGGGACAATCACCAATCTGAAGAGAAATCTAACCACCCTTAAAAATGAGGCGGACAAATAGGCTAGGAACTTTAAAGCCGATAGGGAACATTGTTATGCTTTGATGGCTCAGATGGAGGAAGACATGCAACAGTTGCAGAATCAAAGCCAGCATGACACTCAGGTACTAGAAGCTCGGAATCAGCAAATCAGTCGCTTGCTTTAGGAAAAGGGTATTATCCGAGAGAGGGTTAGAGCCATTGCCGACTACATCGTCATGAAATGCCATGCATGTGAGGACATGACTCGAACCACTTTCTTCACTGTTGTAATGACATTTGTCCGCCAGATAATGAGTGATTTGGAGCGGCTTCAAGGGGATCTCACACGTAGGCCCGTGGCAAGACCGAATGATGTCCCACGGGCCCTAGGAGTCGAAGCACTTATGTACTCATGATTTTTCATTTATCGAGTCTGTATCTCTATTTTTAGTGTAGAATTTATTTTGAGTCTGTATGTAGTTCTTTAAAATTTGAAGAAATTGAGTAGTTTGAATTCTTTTGTAATAGAAAGGTTTAGGAGTTTTGATTAATGAAAATTGAAAATTCCCAAAAATTATTTCTTTATTTTTCGCATTTATTTTCTTGAACTACGTAATGATATGATTCACATGGTGCCGTGATACGTAGGCAATACTCATCGGATCTGGTCATGATTTTTGTAAATAACTCAAATAAGAGAGGGATGTGAAGGGAAAGAACCGAAACAAAACCCAAAAAGAAAGAAAAAGTGAGCCGAAAAAAAAGGAGAGCAAGAAAAGAGAGGAAAAAAATAGCGGAAAATGGGAATAGAAGCACAAAAGCCAAAGTGGAAGAAAAGAAAATTGGGGAAAGAATAAGCAAAGCCGGGATGAAACATGCAATCGTGGCGAAACATGTAGAAACGCATTTAACTGTATAGGTGCATCACACCCCCAACGTGCGATTACCTATATGTTAACTGCTCCAAAGTGACCGGTTTGTTATCTACTATTAAGCCAATGTTCTATAGGAAGGTGGTTGATTTTGTGGTAGTCTGGCTTCACATCCGTACTTCACAAGGTCGAAAGGAAGTGTTGAAATGTCTTCGGAAGGTCATCTACCAACAGTTCCTATTCCGGAGGATAGTCCAATCTCGGTCATCCCAACTTCTGAGTCAGCGGTTGCTGAGGAAAATAGGATTCTGCGTCTCCGCATGATGGAAATGTGGGACGCCTGGGCCAATGGAAGAGAACCACCAAGTGCGATCCCTGGATTCCCCGAGCTTTTTCCTAGGGAAAGCGGGATCTCCAACATCTCCATAAGTATCCAAATACCCCACTAGGATATCCTACCATTTCCGCCCACTTTGCAGGAACACCTTCTGAGGCTCGCCCCCAGGTGTTAGCTTCTGGCGCGGCTTCAAACATATTCATTGTGCCACCTTGTTCAGCTATGGCATAACCCACTCTACCTAGGCCCAGCTTTGATCCATCTTCCGTCACCTTTCAAGCACCATCTTTCCCAATGGAACCAACCCAATTTACTACCAACGTTTACCCTCAGCCGCCTATGTACGAGTTTACTGCAGGGCAGGAGAAAACCACAAAAACCCCTGAACAAGAGGAGATTACAAGAAAGATGAGAAGCATGGAGCAAAGTCTCAAAAATATACAGGGTCTGAGTAGGCAAAAGAGTGTATCCTACACTGACCTGTGCATGTTCCCGCACGTACATCTACCCTTGGGTTTCAAACCCCGAAGTTTGAAAAATATGACGGGCATGGGGATCCCATTGCCCACCTTAAAAGATAATGCAACCAACTGCGGGGAGCGGGTGGAAAAAAAGAACTTCTCATGGCCTACTTTGGAGAGAGTTTGGTCGACATTGCTTCTGAATGGTATATGGATCAAGATATATCACGTTGGCAAATCTGGGATGACCTAGCTCGGGATTTTGTCAGGCAGTTTCAATATAACATCGACATCGACCTTGACAGGAATTCATTGTCAAATCTAAAGAAGAAGTTCTCGGAGAGCTTCCGAGAGTATGCTGTCAAATGGCGCGAACAAGCGGCCAGAGTCAAACCTCTAATGGATGAAACAGAGATGGTCAGTGTCTTCCTTCAAACCCAAGAGGCTGATTATTATCAAAACATGATGTATGTGATGGGTAAGCCGTTTGCCGAAGCCATCAAGATCGGTGAAATAGTTGAAAATGGGTTGAAAACAGGGCGAATCTTGAGTCAGTCTGCTATAAGGGCTACCTCCCAAGCAATCTAAGGCGGGTCTGGAGGAGTAGCAAACCCAAAGAAGAAGTAAGAAGTAGCAATGGCAACTTCCAGTACAAGAAAACCCCGTCCACCCAGACCTCTTGTCTTTGAGAGAACCCCACAACATTACTATCCCCACCAAGATGTGTCTTATGCTATGGTTCCTTAGCCATACGCAGTGATGAATGCCCAACCCTATATCAGGCCACAACAACAATTTAATCAAAACCGAGCTCCATTCCCCAGAAATCAACCTCCTCACCAAGCTCATTATAATCCCTGACCTCCACAGAACAACTTCCGTGCTCGGGAACCACCCAAGATACCAAACTTCACACCCATTGGCGAGTCTTATTCCGGCCTTTTCCCCAAACTTGTTCAGATGGGTTTGTTGCAGCTTGTACCCCAAACCAGGCAAAACCCAGCATCGCCCGCTTACAGAGCTGGTACTCGATGTGCCTACCATTCAGAGGTAGAAGAGCATGATATAGATGACTATTGGACCTTGAAGAGGGCTGTGGAAAATCTGATAGAACAAAAGAGAATAGTGCTAAAGGACGAAAACATTCCTAATGTAACCAACATTCCATTACCGGCCCACAATAACGGGTCGGTTATTGGAATGATCTGTGAAGACAGAGAGTTTGACCCAGCTCTAAAAGCCATCATTGCCCTAGACGATGTGGAAAAGAAGCCAAAAGTTTTCGCGAAACAAGACAAGGGGGAGAAGAAGAGCAAACCTACCCCCCAGAATACAGAAAAGAAAGTGGAAGTTGAAACTGGGACAGCGCCCTCCAAAGTTGTCATTCTCTATGTTCCTCGAGTCCACAAGAAAGAACAGATGTCATTGAGTCCTCCTAGAAGGTTTAAGCTAAAAAAGAGAGCTCAAATGTATGTGCCCAAGGGGACTTACGTGGTGCGGGGGTCGATAAATCCACCAAGGCTGAATGAGCCCGTGGTTATTAGCCATGCACCGCAAAGGCCCATGACAGATGCCACTGTCGTTCCATGGAACTATAACAAAGCAGTAGTAACTTACAAAGGCAAAGAGATCTCGGGAGAAGTTAAGGAAAATAACCCGGCTGAGAAGTACCTCAATCTGGAGGAAGTGAATAATGCCACAAAAAAGCGTTTCCCACTTAAGAAGCCAGTGAGTGCTGAAGAAGCAGAAGTGTTCTTCCAGAAAATGAAAATGGCAGACTACGAGATAATCGACCAGCTTCGGAAGTCTCCTGCCCAAGTCTCCTTGTTGTCTTTGCTAATGAACTCAACCGAACATCAAAAAGTTCTGATCAAAACTCTCAACGAAGCGTATGTACCCATTAAAACCATTGTAGAACAGTTGGAGAGGATGGCAGAAAGGTTTTTTATAGTCAATCAAATCTCTTTCCGCAAGAATGATTTTCCCCCAGAAGGGGCCGCACACAACAAAGCCCTTTATCTGACAGTTAAATGCGAAGGGTATTATGTGAAAAGGATCATGCTAGATGGCGATTTTGGGGTAGATATTTGCCCACTCTCAACTCTGCAACATATGGAAATCGGTACTGAGAGAATCAGACCCAAAAACATCTGTATGCATGCTTTTGACGGCATAAAGAGGGATAAATAGGTGAGATTGGTTGATTCTGACTATCGGCCCGGTGAATTATGAGGTGACATTTCAGATTTTGGACATGGATACTTCCTATAATTTCCTCTAGGGAAGGCCATGGATTCACGAAGTAGGGGCTGTGCCTTCTACTCTCCACCAGATGGTGAAGTTCGAACATGAAGATCACGAGATTGTAGTTCACGGGGAAGATGAGCAATCGATTTATCAGGACCCGTCAGTCCCTTGTCTTGAAGCTAGAGAAGGAAGTGAACATATAGTCTATTAGGCTTTTGAGATTGTGGTCGCGGACCAATGTGAAGAAGGAAACCCTTGCCCTCAACCCTTTCTTTCAAATGCATCAATTATGGTGGCCAAAGAAATGATCAGGCATGGTTACAAACCCGAGAAAGGACTCGGGAAGTCATTGCAAGGAATAGCTGAACCCATCACTCTAGCTGCTAGTAAAAATTTCTTTGGGGTAGGTTTCCAACCCACGCCAGCAGATGAAAAATGGGCGGATAAAAGAAAGAGCAATGATTGGGTTTTGCTTCAGCCGATTCCGCATCTTTATAGGACATTTGTCAAGCCTAAGTATAGTGAGAAAGAGGAAGATGAGGCCTTTACGGCCGAGGAAATTGAAGAAATTTGTGGGGCTATGAGGCAGATGCTATATGAAACCCACATGGTCCAACCAGGGGAAGGCTCAAGCACCGCTGAGGTGCTATACATAGGACCCAGTGCCAAATTACAAAATTGGAAGGCAACTCCATTCCCAATTAGGTGGGAATCCCGGTAGTCCAGTCCTGCCACTTTTTCTACATCACGAGTTAGTTTAGGGTGTAACTCGGATGTTTTCTTTAGTTTCCTGCTTTTAATTCCCAATGAAAACCTTGTTATCTTCAAATTCCAAGAAATGAAATCAATATTTCATCGTTCATCTTTCTTTATTCTTTCTAATTTTTGTTATTTTTCTCTTTTATTTTTTCTTTCAGTTCTAATAATGCGGCTTTAAATAGTATGACATGCTTGCGGACTTCATGCTCAGATCCGAACATGCTGTCTAATTGTGAAATAATGAACCAAGATAAGCTTCACACAGATGAAAAAACCCGAGACGCATTGATCCAACTTTTGTTTGAGTTCAAAGATGTGTTTGCTTGGTCATACGACAAATTGCCAGGACTGAGTGTTGATTTGGTGGTTCATAAGTTACCCACCTACCCCGATTATCCCCCTGTCCAGCAAAAGCAAAGAAAGTTCAAAACTGATGTCAGTGACAAGATTAAACAAGAGGTCACAAAACAGTTGAAAGCGGGGGTGATCCGATGGTTCGATACACCACATGGTTAGCCAATGTAGTGCCAGTGCCAAAGAAGGACAGGAAAATTCGAGTGTGTGTGGATTACAGATATCTAAACAAAGCAAGTCTTAAGGATAACTTCCCTTTACCGAACATCCACATCCTTGTTGATAACTGCGCCAAACATGAGATACAGTCATTCGTGGATTGTTATGCAGGATATCACCAGGTGTTTATGGATGAAGAGGATGCAGAAAAGACAACTTTTACCACACCCTGGGGCACGTACTATTATAAAGTCATGATTTTCGGTCTGAAGAATGCCGGGGCAACCTACATAAGGGCCATGACTGCCATTTTTCATGATATGTGCACCAAGAGATAGAGGTGTATGTGGACGACGTGATCATTAGGTCCAGGACCCAGGATGACCATGTTCGGGATTTGAGAAAATTCTTTGAGCGGTTGCGTAAATATGATTTAAAGCTAAACCCAGCCAACTGTGCATTTAGGATTCCATCTGGCAAACTCTTGGGATTCATAGTTAGTCGGAGGGGCATCGAGTTAGACCCAACAAAGATAAAGTCCATTCGAGATTTGCCTCCTCCAAGAACTAAGAAAGATGTTATGAGCTTGCTGGGAAGATTGAATTACATCAGCCGATTCATTGCCCAGTTGACGTCTATATGTGAACCCATTTTCAAACTGTTAAAGAAAGATGCAGCAATTAAATGGAAAGACGAGTGCCAGGAAGCTTTTGACAAAATCAAAGAATACCTGTCAAACCCGCCAGTCTTGGTCCCGCCTAAACCGGGAAGGCCTCTGTTCTTGTATTTGACAGTCTTGGAGAATTCTTTTGGATGTGTCCTCGGACAACATTATGTAACTGGGAAAAGAGAACAGGCGATATACTATTTGAGCAAAAAGTTCACAAGTTATGAAGCCAAATATACCTTGTTGGAAAGAACTTGCTACGCTTAACTTAGGTTGCTCAGAAGCTGAGGCATTACTTGTTGGCCTACACCACTTACCTCATTACCAGGTTGAACCCTTTAAAGTACATATTCCAGAAGCCAATGCCCATATGGAGGTTAGCAAAGTGGCATATCCTACTCATTGAATTTGACATAGTCTACGTCACTCGCACGGCAATGAAAGCCCGGGCATTAGCAGATCACCTGGCTGAAAACCCGGTTGATGATGAATACCAACCTTTGAGCACCTACTTCTCGGATGAAGAGATAAATTCAGCTGAGGCAATATTTGAAGACACCAATGCTTGGAAAATGTTTTTTTGATGGAGCGGCAAAAGGCAAAAAGTGTTGGAATTGGAGCTATCTTGATCTCACCCACTGGTCAGCATTATCCAGCCACAGCCTGGCTTCGGTTTTTCTGCACAAACAACACTGCCGAGTATGAAGCCTGCATTATAGGTATGAACATAGCAATCGACCAAGATGTCGAAGAATTGTTAATCATGGGAGATTCAGATCTGATTGTCCGACAAGCTCAAGGAGAATGGGAGACCCGAGATGTCAAACTTATTCCCTACAAGAAACATGTGGAAGATCTTAGCAAGCGATTCAAGTCAATAGAGTCCAGGTACATCCCTCGTTGTCACAATGAACTAGTTGATGCACTTGCTACTTTAGCCTCGATGCTGCCATACCCAGGCAATGCCCACATTGATCCCTTGGAAATCCAAATCCGGGAAAGGCACGGTTACTGTAATATGGTTGAGGTAGAACCAAATATTCAGCCATGGTATCATGACATCAAAAGATTTCTGAAAACTAAGGAATACCCAGAGCAAGCCAGTGGAGACCAAAAGAGAACCATTAGACGACATACAAGTGGTTTTTTCTTGAGCGGTGATGTCTTGTACAAAAAGACTCTGGATCTCAACTTGTTAAGATGTGTTGATGCCGAAGAGGCCAGAAGAATCATGTATGAAGTGCACGCAGGACCCCACATGATGGGTATGTTCTGGCAAAGAAAATCCTTCGAGCGGGTTATTACTGGATGACTATGGAAAAAGACTGCTCCAGCTTCGTCCGGAAATGTCATCAATGTTAGGTACACGGTGACTTGATTCATGCACTGCCTACAGAATTGCATCTCATGTCAGCACCTTGGCCATTTATTGCTTGGGGCATAGATGTCATTGGGCCGATTGAGCCGAAAGATTCAAATGGACATAGATTCATATTAGTCGCTATCGACTACTTCACAAAGTGGGTCGAATCAATTGCTCTCAAATCTGTCACCAAGAAAGTTGTAGTAGACTTCGTACATTCTAACCTAATCTACCGTTTTGGTATTTCTGCAACTATCATTACAGATAATGCTGCAAATTGAAATAGTCATTTGATGAGGGAGATATGTGAACAATTCAAGATAACGCATCAGAACTCTACTCCTTATCGTCCCAAAGTCAATGGTGCCGTCGAAGCAGCAAACAAGAACATCAAAAAAAGTTTAAGAAAGATGATTCAAAGCTCCAAGCAGTGGCATGAAAAGTTTCCATTTGCATTGTTGGGAAATCGCACTACTATGCGCACATCAGTCGGAGCAACCCCGTATCTTTTGGTTTATGGCACTGAAGCCGTAATACCCTCAGAAGTTGAAATCCCTTCCCTCCGTATCATTGTTAAAGCTGAAATTGAAGACAGTGAGTGGGTCAAAACTCGTCTGGAACAATTAACCCTGATCAATAAAAAGCGAATGGTTGCAGTCTGCCATGGGCAGTTGTATCAACAAAGAATGGCTCATGCCTACAACAAGAAAGTACGGCCTAGAAATTTTGAAGTGGGGCAAATCGTTTTAAGGCGTATTCTTCCCCATCATCAGGAAGCAAAAGGAAAGTTTGCTCCTAACTGGAAGGCCCATATATTGTCAGAAAATTGTTGCCAAAAAGGGCATTATATCTGGGAGATATTGAAGGAAATGACCCTGAAACAGCTGTAATTGCAGATGCAATCAAAAGGTACTATGTATAATCCTTCTGCAACAATAACATTATTCGATTGGGATGACGAAGACTTTCATTCTCGCTACCCCAAACATTCCAATTCTTTGCTAACCCTTTGAGCCGTTTACCTTTCTTTCATTACCCTCTTTGGAACTCGAAGACGTTTGTAAAAAGAAAAAGAAAAAGAAAGAGAAAAGAAAACAAAACAAAAACAACAAAACAAAATGTTTTCCTGAACTACGTTCGACTTGATTCCAAAAGGATACGTAGGCAACCTCTCTCTGGGGTTCAGTCACACCAAAATAAAAATCCAAAGTCCCCCAAAAAGTGAAATTGGGGCAGGTGTTATAATGGTTCGGCGATGATCCCGCCTGAACGGTTCCAAAGTTGTAATTTGATCCAAATTCTTTTTACCCCAAACCTTGTTCAAGTCCTTCCGATCAATCGGCGAAAGATTTTCAGATTCGGAGAACGCAGTTGCTTGGATCCGATGTAATCAAAAATGAGAGAAATAAAATGAGAGAGTCTTATTGGTGAAAACCCACACGGGCACCATGAGGCGATGGTAAGCAGAGAAATGAAAAAACGAGAGAGTCTTGTTAGTGAAAACTCGTAAAGAGCACTATAAGGCGACAATGAGTAGAGAAATGAGAGAGGTCGATTGGCGAAAACCCGCAAAGGGCGTCGTTGATCGAAAAGAAGAAACCCCTCACCACCATTGGTATTTGAAAGAGTCCTGGAAAGGTT